TCGGCACCACGAGCTGATGGCTCCGAATTTCGGCGAGCCTCATTCCTCATAATGTGCTCGACGCGCTGGGAAACGGCACTCCTTGCTTGGCCCGGCATGGTATCACTTCGGCTGTTTTCTGACTCAAAACTGAGGTTACGAGACCGGCTCGCATGAGGACTGCCAAGAGAGTTTCCGAGAATAATGGCCTGCTCGGACTGAGCCTTCACCTGTTCAATGACTTCATCCAGCTTCTGGGATGTGGCCATGCCAGACAGTTTATTGGAAACTTCTTGTAACCGGCCGAGCAGAGACTCCTGTCCTTCCTTGGTGCCCATCTCCCGAATGATTCGCTCCAGAAGAATGACGGAGGGTGGCGCCTCAGAGCCAGCAAGAGAGGGTGTGCTGATGGACCCTCGCTCAATTGAGTCGCCAAAGCTCTTGGGAGAGGGAATTCTAGGGAGATGAAAGCCTCTGGTGCTTGGTGGAGAGAGGTTGTGTGGCTTGTTGTCTAGGTAATATCCTCCAAAGGGGTCGCGAGCTGGAGGGAGCCTGTTGTGGCCATCGTTGCCATTGCCGTGACTTCCCAAAAGCTCTCTGAGGCTTCTACGGATATCTTCATCTCTCGAGTTTGTAGCCTCCTTGAGGCTAAGGAGATCAGTAGCATTGTCCCTGCTTCGGCGGCTCAACTGAGACATCTCCTTCTGAAGTCCTGTCGCGATGCTAGTCAGGCTGAGAATTTGATCAGACAGCGCTTCTAGGTTCTGGGGGCCTTTTGACAAGGTTAATGAGCCATTTGTGATATCCGTCAAAGGGTTCTCCGGTTCTTTGACAGGCGTGGATGAGGTCATGTGTTGAAGAGCAAGCATGGTGGACGATTGTGGCGGTGTGTTTTCGCCGAGGATGCTTTGAGGAGGAGGCCGTCGAACTGCAGGACGCAGAATCGGCGTCAAGCTGGGTCCAGGTATTGGTGTCGTGCCCGACACTACCGAGTCCTTTTCGTTTGGCCGATTATCAAAATCTCGCGACCGAGAGGGCGTCTCAGGGCGTTGTTGACGCTCTGGGGAGCGCGATGGCGAGCTGTGGCCGCTAGCACCCTCGATCATCATGCTGATATCACGAACTGAAGACTGCAGTCGGCGATGTCCCTTTGTCGGGGACTCTATTCTCTTGGTAGGAACCATGGTGCTTTCTCTCGCTCGCTCATTAAGTGCAGCGTGAGCAGATGCGATAGCGCTCGAAGTTCCCACCCGTGAAGTTAATGGCGACCCCGGATTGAGAGGCAGCGGAGGGGGGCAGCGTTCGGGGTCAGAGCTGTCCCACCTGTTCCCTGTTAGTCGGCGCAAGAGACGCATGAGGGCATATACAAGAAAGCTTACATTGGAACAAGTGCTCGAATATTGGGATCTGAAGAAGCCGACTGTTGATGTCTCAGCTGAAATTCCCCGTCGTAAGAACTGTCTCGCTCCGAAGAAGACATGTCTGTCCTGGTTCCTTGGAAACAAGTAATGGTATGTGAGAAGTGTGTTGGTCTCAACGGCAAGAATGCGGACGGCGCCGCAGCCACGGTATTTACAAGAGAGCAAACAAAAGTCGGTGGGGATTGAGGAATGCGGTGTAAGTATCTGAATATATTCGTTGCAACTAACAAGCAGGAAAGCAGGTAGTATAACAAACAATTCAAGGGGGTATCAGATACAAGAGGATGATGAAATTGGAGGGGATGAAGTTAGAGCATCAAAGCTGGTTGCATTGTTTAATTCAGATGGCGTTGGGAGAAGCTATAACTCAATCTTTGGCTGTCCGTTGCGTAACCGCAACCTGGTTTATTTTTTGTTTCGGGCTTGGTTGGTTGCCGAGCAACCTCCCGCACTGATAGTCAACTCGACCTTAGGCTGTCCTTGTACCGCACCCCCGGTTGACATTGGCAAATCACAAGCTCACAACAGAGCAGATCACACCACGAATTGAGGGCCTTTGGACCGCCCTGTGAAGAGGGGCCTATGAAATACATCATTGTGGAATTTGACAGGGATCATGGCCTTGCTCGCGGCTGCATCGAGCAAATCTAAACAAAGTAACTGTGCCTACCGCTCTGATGCCCTGGTAGATAGGTGACGTTGAGAGTAAGCAAGTCCAGCACCATCACATTACGCCTTTCAATAAGGTATGACCCAAGCCCCAAAGAAAACTTCAGATCTTAGAAGACGATGGCCAAACGAAACCATTCAAGCTTACCTCAAGCCCACGCTGGCTTACCTATATGGTTTTGTCGCCTAAGCCTTGAATTTTGTTCCGTCCCACAGGCGTCTCCAGATTAGAACGGATGGCATTTATCAAATCAAATCGCTTTATTTATACAGAGTTGAGTGTCACCCCACTGCTTCACTAACAGATTACCTCGCTTCCAAGCGAAGCCGATCCTCTCATATCGGCGCAGCGGCGTGTCTATCGTAGCAAACCTAATAACCTGATCCGTCTAAACTCCCATTTAAGCTGTCTTCGTCATCAGCGTCCAGATAGTACCTATCTAGATTCGTATGTCTATCTTTAACATGAATTCAAATATTGCATAATTTCATCTCTACTTCTTGAATGCAATGTCAAAGGCAGGAATCAACGTCTGGGCAAGCCAGAATGAGAAAACCAACTTGGGACCAGTCATGAGCAGCTGCAGGGCGGTATAAGTTAGCGTCGAGAAGTTCTTGAGTGGGGACGGGAGTTGATCGGGAGCTGGCGGGCCGTAGAAAGACGGCTATCACTTCTATGATGGTGAACGTACCTTAGGGACAAGTCCTTTGAAGAAAGCTCCGGGGCCCTCATTCTTGGCCATATTGGAGAGAATTCGGAAGCCACTCTCAGGGTTGTCGAAGTTTCGGTTCTGGATACGGGTCTTGATCACGTCAAGGGGAGCAGAGACAACGAGAGAAGCGGAAGCACCAGCAATAGAAGCAATAAAGTTCTGGAACCAGCTGGCCTTGTTGTAATCCTCAAGATGGAAAATATACTCCTTGGCAAAAGCAGATCCACCAAACAGCTACACTAAATCAGTCTTCTGAATCAACTCAAGGAGAAGAGGCCACACATACAGCGAAAGACCCAGGGGCGTTACGAGCAGCTGTCCAGCCCCAGCCACGGTACAGGCCGAAACCCTCATCGGCAACGATCTTGAGGACGCCACGGCCACGGAAAGCCTCGGGGTTTGTCTGGCGTTTGATCTTGAGGACGTCAAGAGGTAGGAGAACGATCTCACCAATACCGATCAGACTATGGGGCACATTAGGTCAAGCTTCTCAACAAACAGAGGTCTTCATGTCCTACCTTCCAGCAGTAGAGTGCATGATGGCTTTTCCGGTCTTCTTGCCGAAGGCGTTCTCGAAGTCTGCTCCATAGTGCTTGGAGAGGTAATCACGAGCAACAGGCTGGCCACCATACTTGTATACACGCTGGAGGACCTTGTAACCGGCGGCATATCCCAGTCCAGGGAAGAGGGAAACGAATTTTCGTCCGAAGGGAGCGGTGGCCTTGTCCTTGAAGATAACCTTGTTCAACTCGCTGGCGCCGGATATCTACAAGCCCAAGCTGTCAATATATTGTCCAATGGCATGCATCGAGAGAGGCAATTCGCTTACACGGGTCTGGTTGCTCATCAACCGCTTCGCAATGGTGTCGACCTTGTGGAGGGGTTAGTGAACAGCTCCAACATTTGTCACAGTGTTTGTGCTCAAGAAAGGTGGGGTTCCGTACAGGATGGAAGACGGCCAACTCAGCAATACCAGCGGAACCTGTCAAGATCTTGTCAGCTCGAACTAGAGATATCGATTGCAGGAACCCGTAAAGCAATAGCATGGACTCTCGCCTGCTTCAATTGGAGTGAAACGTACCGGAGCCGAGGACACGAGCCAGGCCAGACTCCTTCTCGCGACCAGCAGCGACGGGGGGAGACATCTTGATGGGACAGAGTAATAGAAATCAGATCAGGCCGCTTCTTTGTCAGTATTTCCCAAGACTTTTCAAGAAACTTGGAAAATGGAATCGTGAGCTTGTCGCAAGAGCAAGAGTTCGGGTATAAGACTCAAGAGCTGGCTGCTTGGGAAATTTTTCCTGTCGCCCAATGCACTTATCTCTTTTTAGTTCCTAGGAATCCCCTGGTCCTTGCTAAATCCCTGGCGTATTTGCGGTTGTATGTACTCCGGACCGACGTCGGAGAATCGTGGAGCTTTTATTTAGTAGGTAGCTACCTACCTATCCGTCCAGCGGTCTACGGAGTACGGGTTTCACTAGGATTTTTCTCTGTTGTGATTTGAGAGAGACTCCACTCTTGAATCCCGACCCTCGACAGCGGCAAAGCATGCATGATCCATAGTTTATTATACAAGCCACTAACAAATAATCACGGTACCCTATAGCCGCGATGGTTCCTCTATAACCGTCTTCATCTAATAAACCCAGGAAAACTTAAAATGTTCATATTTATCGCGAAAGTAACGCCATGATAGCCGGATACTGCCGTTCCCGGAGACCGAGAGCTCTATATTCTAGCCTTAAAGTCATAGTCTCAAGTAACGAAAGAAACTAGGTACGAAGGCAAAGTGATGCAGAAATTGGAGTACGGGCCTTCTTACATTACAAGAACTAACATAAAGTTCCCCTGTCAGCAAATACGCATTACCAGGTAGAGAGGCCAGCCTACAGGTTAGCGATATCTTACTGACCATATGAACATGCATGCTTTCTGATGGCCATCACACACACAACACTGAAGTCTTACCTTCAACAACAAACCAAACGGTCACGAAGTCACGAAGCAAAGGCGAGAAAAATGTCAAAAGAAAAGAGAAGAAAAAATGCGATTCAAAGCGTTCTTTTCGTGAGTTGCTGTCTAAAATATGGATGCAGAGATGATATGAGGCCAAACCGTACCCAACGTCAGTACCTGATACCCAGGCCAACCGCCAATTCCGAGCGAGGTTCGAGCTGATGAAGATATATACACGCATTGGCGTCTCCTTCTACACTCCTCAATAATCACGAAGCACAGATACCAACTCATCTAGCCTCATGACTTGACCGAGAAGCTTGTCCTGCACTCCCAGATGCCTGTTGTATTTGTTGTAATGCTCTGTGGTCATGACCTCCTCTTCTTTGCCTTGCACGTCCTTCCTCTCAACAAACGAAAGAATGTTTCGTTCCTTGTGGCGCTCCACCTCTAAGGTTTGAAGGCATCGGAGCATAGCCTTGTAAATGTCATCCAGTGCCTGTGTTTGGGTTCGCTCTTTGTCAAAATACCAAAAGAAGAGCGTTCGATTGGCAAGTCGGCTGCTATCTTTGGGCACTTCTTGAACATCCACTATACCTGCCATCTGCATCGCGAGCATTTTGCCTTGCACGTCACCCTTCTTCATGAGCGCGGCGGCTGGAAGCATTTTCTCGTCAAGCTTGCCCTTCTCTCGAAGAATGCGGGTCAAGCGTAGACCATGGCGACCGTGGGATTGTTCAATAATAGCGTCCAGTTCGATTTCCCGCAGCTTGCCTACGAGGCGACCAAAGTCCACTGTCCATTGCCCGCGGCCGTACATCCCACAGTGACGGATGAACGGATACTTGCTTTCCGCGAGGAGAAGAAGATGACGGCGCATCTGGGAGATTCGGGTCTCGTTTCCATTCGTAGTATCTTCGAATCTTACTCTGTTTTCTTGTTCCCCATTAGCTGTACCCTCATGGTTATCGTCAGCCCATTCATCAACTTCATCATCAACGTCAAACGCCTTTCTTCGACCGGGAGGACCGGCATCTGAATCGTCAGAATCGTCGTCTGACTCCGGCGCTGTTTCCCTGATCCGTTCAGCACTCTGTGAGTCAATTTTTTCTCTTGGAGTTTTGCCAATCCCATTTTGGACGTTGATATTTTCGTCCAGGTGCTCAAATATGTCGATAGTTGTCACAGCTGGTTGTTGTCCAGGAGTCACTTCATCGAGTAGCGGGTCAGACTGGCACCTTGAGAAATCTGAAGTTAAGAGATCGAGCACTGTGCGGTAAACTTCACCAGTGACTTCCCCAAGCATTTCTGTTGCGAGTTCTGCAAGTCTCTGGTTCCGCAGCTCAACCAAGCATCTTTCATAGTTTATCTTGATCACCACATTGGGCTGTGGAATGTCAGTCGGGAAATCAAATCGTAAATAATTTGACGTTCTTACGTTCAGTTTTGGAGCATCGTATGCATGACCATTTTGTGTTGCTCCATTAACAAGTTTCCGTCTCTTTGGCTTGTGACCCCCGCTCATGTCAAGCTGACGCTTCAAAGTCTTGGACTGGTCTCTATATGTTCTAGAGCGTTCGATGACCTCGCGTTGAGCCTCGATCTTTCCTTTGGTGACCTTTTCGCCTGGTCGAGGTTTGGTGACTTCGTCTTCGATCTCACGATAGACATCCTTAGGGTTCCGGAAGCTTTCGGGCCGAACAGTCTCGACGATTTCTGCTCGAATCAGGCGAACAAGGACAGAGTTCAGGTGACTTTCTGACTCGATGAGGCCATCGTGGGTTTTATGTTCACCGTTAGCATGTCCATTGAGCTTAGGCGCCCTCGACCCGAAAGCTTGAGAAAGATCGGCGATTCGGGCGTGACCCAGTTGCATCAAAGTCTGGGCGAGTTCCCGCTCCGCGATGCCGTATTGATTCTCAATCGCATTTAAGATCTTCCCCGATCGTACAAGGTTGTAACAGGCATCAGCATCGGCTTGGTAGTACGTGATGTCGGTATTAGCGTCTGTGTGGTGGTAAAGAAGATTTTGCTGTATCAGAACAGCGATGCCATTTCGCAAGTATCGCGGCGTGAGAGATGTGTGTTGGACCAGTTGCGCAATGGTCGACCGGCCTTTTATGAGCAGTGCATTCAAGATTCGCTGTTTGCGACGAGCAAGTCAGCCCCACAACCTCACTTGTACCCAGACAACTACGGCATAAAACATTACGTACCGAAGGAAGTTCGCCATGAAGATCATTGACTAGGAGAGCACAAAGCTCAGCGGCATGTTTTGTCTGCCGTGAAGGGGCTGTCAGCTGGTATATCTTAAATGGTAGTCGAGCTGCTTCGACTCACAACGAGCATTGCTTGCTCCTAGAGATCCTCTCACTATCTCTAGAGCTTCACACTTGCTACCGGAACGTCATTGATTGACACAAAATTATAAAAGAAGAATCGAGAGCCTGAGAAGAATAAATCGAGATTTTCGTTTCCAGCAATGCTAGCTGTAAGGTTAAAGGGTGGAAAAGCAGACAAGATAGCAAGAAGGCTGGGATGCTTTTTTTTTTCTCCGGCGCAAATGCTAATGGATCGTTAATAAGTCAATTTTTGCCTGCAACTCTGATTGCTGTAAGTCAGCTGCTGGTAGGCCTGTCCTCACAATAGGTGGGGTTCAAAACTTCAATGCTGGGTACGACGGAGTAAGGTACTACCTACTAACATACCTTAGTACCTTAGTACGTAGTATTGATTCTTTCCCTAGCGCCAATGTCGCTGAAGTCGCACTGAGGAGCCAATGCCGCGGATGGAAATCTGGCTGACCTGGACAATCACGTGACATTCTCACTCGTCCCGTAGCCCGAAAATTAGACGGGACCTTTTCGACGAGGCACTTCTCTTGGAGATCAATTGCTTCACCTAGACGGCCGAAGGATCGCCAATTGCCTACGCCATCACCCGCGAATATGATCTCGAGATCGTCCCTTGCGCGAACTGCGCAGCAGGCTGCCCGCCAGGCCTGCCGCGTCCAACGACGTACCTACGCCGCTGCTGCTTCGACCGGATCATACGAGACCTCAGATGTGACTGGCCTCAAGGTCGCCTCGCGGGATGCTCACGGCCCTACTACTACGCTCGCTGTGGTGGCCAAGGCCGGTACTCGCTACCAACCTCTTCCTGGCCTTTCTGTTGGCCTTGCCGAATTTGCCTTCAAGGTGAGAGACGAGAGCATCGAGTGGAAATCAAGGACTTGAGCTAATTTGCTGGCTCTATGTAGAACACCCAGCGACGATCTGCTCTTCGCATTACTCGCGAGTCTGAGCTTCTTGGTGGCCAATTGGCTTCCTCTCACTCTAGGGAGGCTGTTGTTGTCGAAGCTAGCTTTCTCCGCGAGGATCTGCCTTACTTTACCGAGCTCCTCGCTGAGGTCATCTCTCTGACCAAGTATACCAGTGAGTAAACATTCAACCGTACACTACATACACATCCGGGCTATACTAATGAGGATCGCTAGCTCACGAGTTCCACGAGGATGTTGAGCGTGTTCTCCACGCCAAGCAGGCTGTCCTCAACGCCGACGTCGCCGCCACTGCTCTCGACAACGCCCACGCTATCGCCTTCCACACTGGTCTCGGCTCCTCCCTCCTCCCCAGCTCCTCCACTCCTTACCAGAAGTACTTGAACGAGGAGTACATTGCTAGCTACGCCGACGTTGCTTACGCTAAGCCCAACATTGCTCTCATTGCCGACGGTGCCTCTCCCGATTCTCTCTCCAAGTGGGTTGGCCAGTTCTTCAAGGACGTGCCTTCTGCCCCTCGAAGTGGCCAAACTCTCAAGACGGACGCCACCAAGTACTTTGGTGGTGAGCAACGAACAAGCTCTAGTGCTGGCAACTCTATTGTCATTGCTTTCCCCGGCTCTGGTTACGACTCTACCAAGCCCGAGCACGCTGTGCTGGCTACTCTCCTCGGTGGTCAGTCCACCATCAAGTGGGCTCCTGGCTTTAGCCTCCTGGCCAAGGCCACTGCTGGTACCTCCGGTCTTACTGTCAACACCTCCAACCTAACCTATTCCGATGCTGGCCTTCTTACTGTTCAGCTCAGTGGTCCTGCTCCCTCTGTCCGCAAGGGTGCTGAGGAGACTGTTAAGGTGCTCAAGAGCATAGCAGATGGCCAAGCGAGCCAGGAGGACGTCAAAAAGGCCGCTGCCTACGCCAAGTTTAACCTTCTGAACCAGAACCAGCTCCGCCAACCCAGCATCGCCCTTGCTGGCTCTGCTATCGTCAATAGCGGCAAGTCTTACGACTCTGCTGCCATTGCCAAGGCCATCGATGGTGTCTCCGCTGAATCCATTAAAACTGTAAGAACTCACCCAAATTTTGTCAAATATTCCGTAAGACTAATACTTTCTCTTACAGGCTGCCAAGACTCTCCTTGAGGGCAAGGCCACCGTTTCAACTGTCGGTGATCTGTTCGTGCTGCCCTATGCCGAGGAGATTGGTCTGCGAGTATAAATGGAGGTCCAAGAGAGAAAAGAACTTGTACCAACAGTTTAGAAGTCATGTGGGAGAGGCTGACCTCTTTGTGAATATTTGTAGTAGAAATCCTTTGATCCATTATAGGCCCCTTTGTTCTCCACCATGAATTTTATGTTACATGAGCTTGGTGACGCATATCTCTCGCAAAGACAGATCGAGTCTGATCTGCTGTATTGCATTCAAAGGTAGCATCTTAACGGGTTGCTTTTGCCGATATACGCTTTGGTAAAAAGTTGCGGGGGCTCATTGTTAGCTTTACCAGTTCAACCCGTAGGTAAGGACCGCAATGCTGAAGATAAGAGACTAAACTCTGGGTCCGCGCCAGACATCCTGCCGTTGGAAACGCTCGTACCTATGCAACTCAGCGAAGCCAGAACCGGTCAGGTTACAGCCACTCATACGTTTGAAAACCAGTCATTGGCCCCAAACTTGCTGTCAGCATCGTATTCGTGGGTACACAAGTTGTACCACCAACACTGCGCCTACACCAACATAGCCCCTCTTGTATTGTGTTTGGCTACATAGTATGCATTGGAGCTCTGCATGTTTTCTGATGATACCTTAATGGAAGCTGAATATCACAGTAAGCGCTGAAGATTCAAGACCCATGCGGGTTATGCGCACTGATGTATCCCTACTGCATTCCCAGCAACGCCCACTTTTATAACAACAAGCGTGTACTCCGTAAGCTTTCATTCATACTTACCTTATGTATATGTCTGTACTACGACGCTACGTAGGAGAAGCACAATCCCAAGGACTAATTACCTGCTGGATAGCATGAAGAAAATGGAACCGGGGTAAGATCTAGATTGCTCATTGTTTCATTGCAACTCCGGGCGATTGTCCATGTTTTGATTTGTTCTCAATTGTTCAAGTTGACGATTGCTATACGACATGATGGATCATGCTTTAAAACATACCCGCATAACCTAGGTAAGTTATCAAGAGGATGGATGTCATGGAAAGGTTGGGTTTAGGGAAACCACTCACAAGACACCTTTCGAGAGCGATCCACAGTATTTTCAACTGTACAGGCATTCAGACACACGACACTGGCCAAGCACGACAATTAGAGGTTAAACAGGGGACCCAGTACCGGGAGGGAAAAGCCTTTCCGCGGCTGTGTCCCAGAACAAACTAAAAGAGAGGGTTCTACTCTGTAGTCCAGCAGAATAGCAACAGAGGAGACCCTTCGACCGTCCCGCCGTTAAGCATACTGCCGCTGTGACCTCCACTTACTGTGTTGTTCTGTCCTGTACTGTGCCGTCCCCTAGGTACCTTACCTACCAGGTAAGTAGACGTAGGTACCTCTCGGAGTAAAGGTCCAGTGCCCAAGCCTCAACCACCAATTCAACTCCCACCGAGACCTCGTCGCTCATCGTCTGGACTCTCCCTTCCAACCACGACTCAAACTCTCTTTTTGCGCATTCCGCTCCATGCTCTTAATGCCCATTGCAAGGCAATTTTTAACGATACGCGAGCTGGACGACGCTCTAGATCATTGTATCTGGATTTTTTCCCTTTCTCTATAGACCCGCGAGGTAAAACCACTCGAACCCCATCGTCTTTCACTTCTTCGCCCGTTTTCCTGACAGCGTTTTCGTTGGAGCCGCCTTTTCGCTTCTCCTCACACAACTGCTCGGCTTGGCTTCCCTACTATTTCTCCTCGCTCCCTCTATCTTTTATACTCCCAAGCACACAGCGCTCGCCGGAAATCTATCTAGTGGATCAGAAACGGCTCTACATATGAATGTATGCATACAGTTGCTAACCTTCGCAGCATTGAGTCAGAAGTGAGCCTTTCGCAAGTTTACTATAGCTTTGGCCTTGGCCCAGCAGACCCAGCCCAGCTCCATAAGGTAGCCATCGTATCGCCTGACTATTGCATTGATCCCCAAGCTGTCGCAAAGTAAGTCGTTGCATTATACCCATCTCCCCCCCTCTACCAAGTCGATTTGGTATTTCCCCTTATCGATCATCCCCAAACCCCACGATCTTGGTGTGGTCCACTGTCGTCATGTCATAGTAACAGGACTCGGCCTCTAATGATATACTGCTTATGTCTTTTCTCCCTGCCGTTTTCTTCTAAACAGAGAGACTTTACAGCTCTTGGGAGGCTAACATCTGCGTCTATTCAGAGTCACGAATTCGCTTCCCGTCCTTCTGCGACCCCAAACGAAATATCCACAATCACCCCACATCGTCACTTGGGTTTCTTTCTGGATACCTGAATGGTGGCCGAGCTTTGTTAAACTTGACTTTCTTTTAAGAATTTACATCACGACTGGAGCGTTCCTGAATATGCCCGTTCCGAAGAAGGATGGAATAGCTGGTGGGGGGTCTGGGGGCAAACAGAATGGTTTGTTTTTCAGTCTTTTCGAGCAAGAGCTATCTAATTCTGTGTGATATAGGAGGCCGGGCTGCATTCCGAACCGATACTGCCATCTCCAAAAATCGATTCGGTAACGAGCGGGTTCTTCAACCTTGGGTCCCCGATTCGAACGATTCTTTCAATGGTAGCCTTGAGAAGTCAAGCGGTAGCGGTAATTGGGACCAGTTCGCCGAGAACGAGAGGCTCTTTGGATTGAAAACCAATTACGATGAGAACTTCTACACTACCGCTATTGACAAAAACCACCCAGAATACAGGGAGAGGATAGCTGCAGCAGATAGGAAGGCGCGCGAAATTGAACGCAGCGCGCCCACTACTGCTCACGTGGCTGAGGAACGTATCATGGACTACGTCGGCGGAGATGATGGGGGTGATGAAGAGGACAAGTACCTATCCATTTCCCAGCCATTTCTTCGTGTGGCTAACCATAATTCT